GCGGCGCTCTGTCCCGGCGGGCCCGTGAGAAGGCGCGCGGAGCCGCCGCCGTGTCCGTCATGGCGGCGGCGCTGTCGGGGCCGCTGCGCCCCGAGCTGGCCCAGGCCGTGTCCCAGGCGCGGGTCCTGGTGGTGGGGGCCGGCGGCATCGGCTGCGAGCTGCTCAAGAACCTGGTGCTCACCGGCTTCAGCAGCATTTACGTGGTGCGGGTCGATGGCGACGCCTTGGAAGGGTTGAGTTTTGCCGAGTGCCGCCTTTGCCGGTGCTGGGGGGTGCCGGGCAGGAATTGCAGCGAGGAGCCCCGGGAGAGGCGAACTGTGCTCGCACAGCCCGGCTGTAAAGCCCTCAGTGCCGGCGCTTCCCGCGGGCTCCTGCTTTCACTTTTGCTTCCAGATATTTGTCTGTGAATGTGTCCGGGAAGGGCGGATGTGAGAAGGTAGTAACGAAAAAGAGATAGTTTCATCAATAGTATTTCTCTCTATGATTGCCTGCTGTCCAGATCTTTGCTGGCTTCTTATTGTAGTAAAGAAGAGCATATGGTTTTAAATCCAGCTAGAGCAGAAGTCTGTTTGCTTCAATACCTTTTCACTAACGTGCCCAGGAGTCACCTCTGAGAGTTGTGTGTGACGGGTTGTGAGGAGTTTGGGTGTGCAGCCAGACTTGTTGAGCAGAGCAGCTCGTATCTAAAACCATATCGGATTCTAGAAGAAAACAGTTACTGCTTTGCCTTGTTACTCTTACAGCTTGGGCTTTCCTACTGGAATGCTTTTTAAACTTGTAGAATATGTTTAATTCCAAATTTTCCTTTTGGTTTGAGACCCTATCCAATTTGAACATTGCATCAGGGAAATAAATAACTGCAGGGGAGTGGAAGCATTTTCTGCCCTGTTCCTCTCCTCTCTCCCCCTTGCCCTGCTGTGGCAGTTCTGTACTCCTGCAGTCCATTACAGCAGAGCTTGCAGCTCCTGATTCTCCAGTTGGTCATTAGGCATAAATCTCACCGGGGTGTGCTTATTGTGTGCCTTGTTGTAGTTTGGGGGTTGGTATTGCCTTTCCAGGCTGACTGGGGGGACATGTTGGCTCTGTCTTCACATGACAGTCTTGCTGGCAGTGTTTTATGCAAGACATAATGTTTTCATAACATAGGGAACAGCTGGGGTACAAGACAAGGTGAGGGCAAAGGAAGACTTGTTACAAAGAGGGAATTTGCTATTAGCAGGATAAATTGCTTTTGTCAACATTTGTGGTATTGTTGAGAGTTTTCCTCGGTTATTAAATATTTAAAAACTTGAACATCTGAAAATACTTTTTATAAGTAAGTTGTGATTTAAAAAAAAATAATATTAATGTAAAATAAAATTAGTAGTTTTGAATACTATACAACTAACTAATATGTGACTTAAGTATAGTGGTGAAAGGCATACCCTTGCCCTGTGAATGAAGAACACAACTATTTTTTCAGGATCCAGGTGTGAATTAAGATCCTGAGTAAATGTTGTTAAGGGATGATGCCTTTTCTTCCAGGTTACCAAAATGGGAGCAGTGTAGTTGTCTTAAAAGTGAGCTGTTAAATTCTCATCGTTCTTAGCTAGACTGCAGCTTCTGTTGAGGTCTGGTGGTCTCAGGTTTTCTCTCTGGAAAACTCCCCTTGCTGCCTTTAATGCTGTAATTCTTGTTCTCAGCAGGAGCTGATGTTGCTTGTCATCTTCTCCAGCTGAAGTACTCAAGGCTCTCTGGGTAGTGAATGTTTTAACAGAGTTTTGCACTTTATAGTTTTCCCTTGAAGTTCTTGGGCTTTCTGGCTTTGCACTAAGCAAGCTGTGTGTCTTTTGAGGAAGGAAGAGAGGTAGAAATGTGAATTATGTAAAGTACTTTTTCATGGAAAGAGACAAGGCCATGGGTAGTTACTGTGATACAGTGGTAGAGTGTTTAACAGTCTCAGCTCTATAATATATTTTCAAAACATTGTATCTTTTGTTTGCTCTGTATCCACAGGTGCTTTTATTAACTGTTTAAATAAAACTCTGTAGCTATTACATTTTTTAGTATGTTAAAATTTAGTCCTTCAATTGAAAATACTCCCTTCAGAAAGGAGGTAGGTTGATCCTGGGGTTTGGATCTCTCATGCAGAGGATGTTCACTGAGTGTGTACCATGCTTTTTTCATAATTCAGGTTTGGTTAATAAAGGCAGAAGCATGTGAGAACAGCCTGAGTAGGTCACATTTAAACTTCACCCTGCACAGTCAGTCTGGGTAGCTGAAGGTGTTACTGTGCTGAGTATGGCAGCATTACCTGTGGGAGTTTGGGACAAATATCTCCTATATCTTAGAAAAATCTCTGAAAGAGCTCAGAAAAACTCTCACTGTCCTCACTAAAACGTTAAGGACAGGAGAAGACTTCTAAGAAGAGTTGTTGAGTGAAGAAACTTAAATTGCACAAAAGGTAGTGGTAACAAAGCTAGGAATAAATGTCAACGTTCTAGTTAAATCTTAATTCTTGTGGGGGCTAAAGATATTGGAATTTATGCTGTTCCTGTGTATATAATAATAAATAGAAACATAACTGTTAGGGGAATTGCAGTCGTGGCATCCTTTGTGCTCTGTGCTGTATGTTTTTAAACTTTCTGATTGTGTGAATGGATTTCTGTTTTTATAAGTGGACTTCATCATTTGTCCATGTACAGGCAGTAGAAGCTTTTGCCCTGCAGTGTGTGTGTAAGATGGCTGTGCAGCCCTTGATTTACTGATGCAGGTGCTTGAAGCCATGCTCTGTAAAGTGGAAGGACCAGTTGGTTTGGAGCCTTTCCTGGGCCTGGGGGAAGCAGGAGCCAGGGCTCAGGGTGGGTGGTGCAGGCAGAGGCTGGCTGGACCTGTCTGATGGATTTCTGCATTTCCCAGCTGAGCTTGTGCTCTGCTCCTCAGGAATTGCTGCTGGAATCTTCACCCTGTGCAAGCAGGGCCATTGGGGTTCTGCTCGCTGCTGTGGGCGTGCATTTTCAGCAGGGGCTCTCTGCAGAAAGTTTGTTCTCTGTAGCACTTTGTCACGGTCCCCTGTCAGCAATCATTGGTAATGTTTGGATTCCTGAAGATAATTAAATGACCAATTGTGCCTCTTCAGTTGCTGTAGGTCTGATGTGACACCTGAGAG